CCCGGCTCCATTCCGTTCCGTGAGCACTGATTCACAGCACGCGCAGGACGCTGCCCGTCGCGAGCTCGACAGGCTGCTTGAGCAGGTACAAGGGCTTTCCTGGGAACTTCGGGTTTAGGGCTTTAGGGTTCTAGCTGCGCTTCGATCGGGGTGTAGGTTGAGGAATGCAAATAACATAAAAGACGACATCATTGCTGCACAGCAGCTTGGCGAGATCTCCTGAGTTTGGGTGTTTGATAGCATGCTGATCGCTGTGTCCTACATAACCCTTAAACCCTATACATTGAATCTCATACGAACCCTAAGCCCTCTCAACCCAACTTGCGCACCTGCTTAGTATTCTATGCATTGGGTAGCCGTGCTTGGCTTATCAACGACGCTTGCACATCGCACAATCCTGAATCAGATTTCTCATCGGCTTTGGGCCGGGAGATCCACTAGGGCTCAGAGTGTTTGGGTTCTTTAATAGTTAGTGCTTTGTAGTTCGGGCTTAGTTTCCATTGTAGTTTTTTCGGTCAATAAGCAGTGTTAAGCTTAGCATCCGGTGAACGAAAAGTAGGCATTACAGTCAAGACTATGGGTTTGGTTGAGATAATGGAAGCCTCAGGATTTGAAGGTTGTAGGTTTCAAGCACTCATTTAAACAGTGTTTCTTGTAAGGGGCTTATACGATCTGGGTTTGAAGTTCAAGATGCGTGGTTTCAGGTTGATACGACTTTGGGTGAAGGTTCTACAATTTAGGGACTAAGGTTTGGGGTTTATGATTTGAGGTTGGGGGTGTACAGTGTACGGTTTAAGGTGCCAGGTTTAGGGTCTGGGATTTGGTTTGCCGGTTTGTGGTAAAGTTGCCACTACAGCTCGTCCCGCCTACTTTGAAAGACTGGCCACCTTCAAACCTAAACCCTAAACCTCAAACCCTAGCCTAACCCTATCGGGAACCACGTGTCATGTGTCTTCAGCGTCACTGTTGGTGTAGAACGGAAGGAATGCCGTGGGGTTTCAAGCTAAAGGTTCAAGTTCATGCTTTTCTAGGGTTTGAGGTATTAGATAAATGCTATAAAGGAGAACCTTTGAGCAACAAACGACCCGAAACCCCAAACCCTGATATAGGTCCCTTAGCAGCATCCGAAGAGCCATAGGCTATCATAGGGTTTAGAGTGTAGGGTTTGAGTGTTAATGGGATTACAATTTGGGTGCCGTCATTTAGTTGTGACAGGGAGTGGCCCGGATGTCAGGTTACACCGACAAAATGTAGACCCCGGGCAATCCCGAACTCCTCCAACCCTGCCATGCGGCATTTCTCTCCGGGGCCAAGGCCACACGCCAACACTTGCGGAGTGTCTTCGAGGCATCCAGCACCTGATAGTGTGAACCGTGGGGCGAGGGAATTATTGTCATCCTTACATTGAATGAAGACTTATTGTGTGATCAGGGCGCATTGACAGGAAAGGCAGATGCAAGACTGGCGTACTTCTGGGCCATAATGTTGGCTGGCTCCACGAAGGTGTATTGATAGTAAAGCTTGACAGCTTTGGGCGCCACCTCAAAGTGATCCTCACCATCACCTGACACTGATTTTGGGGATTCGTGGAATAGCATTTGGAATTATATGGTTCCGAGCCTAGTATTGTAACCTATACCTTCAAAGGGATTGGTATGAACTGCAGCCTAATGACTGGCAGCTCCCGTGGATCGTTCACATCGATGTCCATTGAGCGTCAAGTCGACGAGGCCTGCCGTCTCCATCTCGCGAATCATGGCATGGATAGAGCATGGCTCGGAGTCAGCCGATGTTCGGTTCTGTGGCACTTCGAGGACAATAATGTCATCTTGACTGGTCCATTCGCACACCATCAAGTTGTCGACGGTCCCTGCACATGCAACGTCTATGGTTGGTCAAGAATGCACCCCTTGACATGTCGTGCAGGAAACGGAGCGGCACCAGAGGATTCTTTTGGCGCCCGGAGCACAGCTTCAACGACTCAGCAGCATATGGCATCGCACGGAGTGTTCGAATGCATCCGGTTGGCACGATACGGTATGACTTCTAGACGAGCCACCCCAATGGCTCGACAAAACTTCGGTTCGCAGGCCATGTCATCTTTTCGGAGTCTAGGCCCTAAGCAAATCGGCGGCGCTTCTGCTCAGTAGGAGAATGCTGCGCGATGTGGTTCAGACGGATAGGATGGGTCTGCCACCTGAGGTGGGCGACTCTGCATCCACTACAGCAGATGCAGGCAGCTCGGTTCACAGGAGGATTGATTGATTGTCTGAGGGGCCCACTCTTTCCGGGCTGTTGCCCAGATCTGTTTCTTGGGCATGTCTGGGTGCTCACTTTCAAGCCTGGCAGCCGCTTCCTTGATCGTCTTCCAATACTCCCCGATCATGCCGTCACCAAGCTTGTTGTCATCGGGCTTGCATGCCTGCAGACATGATTTAAAGGTTTGGGGTTAAGGCTGAAGGTGTAATCTTGAGCAGTTTCAGGGGTTCTCATCATAGGGCCAGGGATGCTACTGTTGATGATATAAATCCTGCATTACCTTAAGGACCCTAAACTATGGGAATTATGGTATATTCCTTATTCTGGGTAATGCAGGATTTATATCATCAACCGTAGTACCAAGGGTCTAGGTGAGGGTTATCTTTGGATAACTGGCATTTAGACTTCGAGCCAAAAACTCCACGTAACTCGAACCGAAACCTCAACCCCAAAGCCAAACCCTAGATCCCAGACTCGATAATCTCCAGCCCCAAGTATATTATAATGCAAGCCCTGAGTAGCCTTCTTAGCCGCGGCTGGCTTCTTCTTGACTGTCTTGACTTTCTTCGGGGCTGGCTCCGGTTCCTCGCCCAGAACCAAGGTCTCTTGCGAATCTCCCGGAAACACGATGCCGTCCTCCTCCTCCTCCCCCGAAATCTCTGACTCTGCCTCTTTCTCGGAATCTTTCTCGGAAGCCGGCTCGCTCCCGCTCTGATCGTGCTTCGAGCCACGCGATTTGGCTTTGGCCTTCGGTTTAACTTGGGCCTTTGCCTTGGCTTTGCCCTTGGCAGCAGGCTTTTTTGTCTGTGCCTTTCCCTTCGGGCCGGGCTTGGGCTTCGTGTCGACCCGATTTTTTGCAGCATCAACGCAGAAAGCCCTCAACCTTTGAAGCCCTGCTGAGCCCCCTGTGCTGTTTGCTGGCTTTGCTGCTGATGATGCTGATGCTTGACCAGTGTTCTGGGTGCCGGGTGCCGGAGGTGTGGGTTTGTGCATGGCATCCGTAAGTGCTGCATCAAGATTCTGCCTGGCTGTTGGAGTCATGCTTGCCGCAGCGTGTGCTGAGGTCATCGGGAGGCTTCCTCGTGGGCTGCTGTTGGGTGTAGCGGCCTCAACACAAGAGCAGGGGGAACCATTCTTATCGTAAGATGGGTTATGCTGCATTAAATTAAGTTCAAACAGCAGTAAGGGCTCCACAGACCCAATCGTAGGAGAGGCAACAGAAGGTGGATTTGATGTCGTTGAGGCAGTAGGTGTCGGTGTCCTTGGCTCGCCGGCCGTCATCTGACCCAGATCCTGCAAACATGCTGAGTGGTGTACTAATTTCCTGCAAACTCTAGTGGCTAGTGTTGCAGCAGTCACTGTATCCTTCTGGAACCCGTGTTTCGAGAGCAGCATCTGCAATGCGTCCATGGCAGCAACACAGACACAGGGAAGGTCTGAAGGACCTTTGCAGCTACACTCCTGCAGTGATCGAGTTTCAATGGCCGCGCTGTGCACGATAGTGGTGGAATGATTGTGAGCACGGTCGTCCTAAAACCATGGACCCACCCACCCATGAACCGCTAAACGCCTAGGCCGTAAAGCCTATCGGCCTAAAGTCTCCAAACCCTAAGTCTCAACCCCGAAACCGTTGACCCCAAAGCCAAGCCTTAAACCTTGACCTTGCGGCTTCAATTTTCAATCCGTGATCCTTAACCCATTAACCCTTAACCCTTACCCTGAAATCCTGAACCCCACCTCTGAACCTCAACTAGTCGTCCCAAAGCCACAAGCCCATCCACCCCTAAGCCACTAAACGCATCTAAACCCTAGGGCCTAAACGGGGCTTAGCTGTAAGCCTAAACCTAAATCGTACCACTGAAACCTGCAACCCTCAGCCGTAGGCCCTAAACCCTAAAGGCCCTAAACCTTAAACCCTTCAGTCTTAACCCTTCGCCCTTTAAGCAGACCCAGGCCTTGAGCTTCGCGAAGTATCTTGGCCGCCTTCTCAGGCTTGAGAAAGCAGCTCCGCCCGTGGCCGATCAAGAACTCAGACGCAGGGACTGTGACGCTGCTGTGTGCAACCTCAGTGGAGTTTTGAATGATTTGAATCCAAGGTTCCCACTTCATACGAGGTTCCATCATGTAGCAATCAGACTACTTCTTTATCGAGCAGCAAGGAAGACTTTGAACTTTTGTGCATCGCACACATCAGTCTGTTGGCCATCTCGCTCGGTGCTCTTGCAAATGAACAGACTTGCGCCTGCGGTTCTTGCTGGAATCTTGTGCTCAATCTCATACCTGCCGGTGAGATCATCCAAAGTGGATGGCTCACCATCCCAGGCCAATGAGCCATCAGCCACCTCCGGGTTCCGGGTGCTGATTGGTCCCGGTGCGTCCGCGGCCTGGGTCTGCATGTGCCGGGCAAACCTCACCATGGGCTGGTTTAGATTTAGGATCGGTTTGGGACGTTAGGGTGAAAGGATGCAAACGGGGTTTCGGCTCCGAAGTTTTAAACTCAAGCAAGTAGCTTCAGGACCTCAGGAGTAGTAGTTTGGTTTAACTTGCTTCAATCTTTGGTTTATTTAGGCTGGTGGCTTCGTAACACAGGCTCAAGTTCCTCTACGGATGCATAGCAAGGAACTGCTTGTCGAAAGCTTCCATGAGCCCCTGCCACTGCATGCGATGCACAACATCTGCATTGTACTGTGCCCGGACGGTCGGGGACAAGCTGAACCTGTAGCGACCCACACCCCTTTGGGAGTCATCAGCCGTAACCTCCACAAGCTTGAAACCATAGTCACGGGGATCTGGGCTGGCCGGCATGCCGGAGACCTCGCTCTCGTAGCGCCTGAAGCCGGTCTCCTCTGCCAGGAGCTGGGTGCTCGCGTTCTGCTTCCAGGCCTGAAGGAACAGGGTTTGGGCTCCGGGGCTTAATTCAGTCGGGTGCTCAGGTTAGGAAGGTTCAGAGTTTGAGCCACAATGCTTTTGGTTGAGATTCGGGATGAGTTACTCAGGCTTTAGGCCTTTAGGGCTCGAGAGTTTTATCCTTTCATATGTACCGGTTGGTGTGTCAGGGTTGGCTGGGATCACTCAGAGTCACCCACACTATTGAATTATCACCACATCCCAGATTTCAGCAGCAAGCCTGCAGAATGTCCAGAGCCAAGATTTGCTCGCAATACTGAGCGATATCCATGTCATTCGTGAGGGACAGGGAGCAAATTCGTGGCCTCTGCTCTTCAAGATGGTACTTAGCCACTGTCTTCTCCCAATGGGCATCATACGGGGAGAGGTGCACCGTCCTGAACATTGTCCTGCTGGGCATGTTGGCAAAACAACCCGCCAGGATGGCCTCCGGGAAGGCTGCACCGCACAGGATCTGTGCGGCCTCCTGCACATCTGACATGGCCCTGACAGGGATCGTAAGTTTTTGGGCAAAGTTCACTAACTGTTAGGTTGACTCTTGTGTGGCAACTGAGTTGAATATTCGTTTAAGTTCTAAGACAGGCTGATACGGTCTAGGGTTCAGTGTTGTGGATTTCTGGTGTTGGGCTACTTGGGTTTGAGGTCTAGGGTTCAGGGTTGATTTGAGGTTTGCAAAGGCCCCACGCCTCGAACCTTCAGATGCCGAGGGCACGGAGTCTTTGATGGCCACCGGGATGATGTAGTTGCGCTCGGGCTCGAAGGGAATGTTCGATCGATTTCCCCTGCAATAGCACAAGGAATCCGACTCACTAAGTTTTCTCGAGTTGTGCTGCTGTAGCACCAGCAATGCTTACTGAGTTAAGACAAGATATAACAGTTGCAGCTCAATTTCAAGATCCTTTGCATGATGCTGCTAGTACGTAACCGATGTAACCCCGTCCTGTCCACCAACAGTGAGCAGCGCCAAAAGAAGTTCTTCTCCGGCTCGTTCGCATCCATCATGACCCAAGCTGGGAAGTTGATGGGGACGCTTTTGTTTGAGGGCGGGCTCTCCATGCGGAACGTGATGCTTTGCGAGTAGAGCATCTTCGCATCAGCTTTGTCTTCGATGCGCCTTTCCAATCATTCATTACTCATTAAACACTAGAAAGACATTGGGACTGGCTGCAGCTAGCTCCTAGCACGATTTTTAGACTCATATACGGGTGCCCGCCTCAATTCGGCCCGCTGTCCGAGTCTCGCCGACTCCAAGAACGGGGCGACCACCACAGCCATTGTCATCAGGGGCTTTGCGGATAGAAACTTCTTGACCATGCCAATGTCACGGTCTAAGTCTTTCGCACTCAAGCGACCGTTCTTCGTGAAGTCCAACAGGAGCACGCACGGCGCCTCGTCGACCGTGCTCTTTGCCATGAACTGCAGGCAGGAACATTGCGATTCGAGAATTAAGACGGTGAGGAATTCATGGTTTAGAACACGAGAGGTTCATTCGTTGAAGCTGAAGTTTCGCGGATCACTACATCCCGTAGCATGGGTTGATGTGTTCAGAGGGGCTTTCGAAGATCGTGTTGATGCATTGTCTTTGGGACTCGGGGTTTAGGGCTTAGGGTTTAGTATGACTGTCATTGTTGCGGCGCCCATACTCAATATGTGTGGCTAGGAGTATCATGGACACGGCTTAGGAGTTGGGGTTTAGGGGGTTGAATTTTTAGTATTTAAGCCGACTGGCCTGCATAAGTGCCGACTCGAGATCCTCTGTGGTACCACCAACCACTCGGAGCCACTTCTGCATGTACTTGGTGGTCAGGCTCGCTCCCAGTGCATTCCTCGTGGGTTTGTTCGGTTTTAATTAGAAAATACACACTCGCGGTAGTGCTGTGGGACCTGTGCAACTTGTACCGGTGCCGGCAGGACACTGAGACTTCAAGTGGGTTACCTTTGCCAGGTGCCGTGCGCGGTCCGACTTGTTGTAAGCGTCCAGCATCCTGCCGATGTTGGCGATGTCGGTGGCCAGCTTGAGCTGGTCTTGCTCGAAAGCGATTCTGGAAGCATCATCGGCCATGCTGTTCAGCCGGGCCGCAGCAGCATCCATCACTGCGGCATCGTTCGTGGGGGCCAAGTGATCGCTCCAGAGCTGCGTGTGGGAGGGGCTCCAATTGAAGTGGCTGCCATCAATGTGTGCTTGCATATCGTCGTGGTAGTCCCTCAATCACACTTTGTATGCTGGTTCTGAGACTGACTCATCTCGCGGGAAGTAGGCAATAGCTAACTTAATGCAACTGAGCAACCCCTCCAAGACCTTGGCCCGTGCCGCCTTGAGATGCTCTGGGGAGAACATGCTTGGCTGGTTGCCCATCTCCTGGAGCACATGTCCCAGAGCCGCCATGATGTTCGTTTCCGCGTCCCACTTTGCCAAACTCAGCCTCACATTGGAGGCTTTGCCCGCCCGCTTTTTCAGGGCGACCCTGTGTAGGAGTAGGACCCGGTCCATGAAGAGCTCTTGCTTCACGTTGTTAATCTTGAGAATCTCGTGCCAAATGCCGTCCGTCTGTGGCATGCTCTGTCCCAAGAACCACCGAGTTGACAGCAAAGTCTCTTTTGCGAAAGCTTCAGGGCAATCAAAGTCATTCAGGCTAGTACATACTTATCCATTACGTACTATCCCAACGATGGAGAACTACATCTCACTTCCTGTATTGCCCGGGCCTGGCCTGAAGAGTCCTGCCTGTGCTGATGCAGGTGAAGCTGGATCTGCTTCCACACAAGATCACTGACTCCAACCTGGTGAAAGGGATTTAGAATGGGGCCTCGGCTGATATTATTACCGAAGCATCCCATGCCCTAAACCCTAAACCCGAATCCCTTTGTTACCCTTAAAGGGGCCCCTCAAGCCTATAAAGCCCTAAAGCCTATAACCTTACCTACTACTATAAGTCCCATGCCCGGAACCCTAAATCCTAAACCGGAAACCCTGAACCCTTAACCCCAAAGCCTAAAACCGTCTAACGCCAGGATGGGTGAGGGATCTATGTTGGTGCAGCTAGTCTAGTTCAGGCTTCAGGGCTTGTTGGTTGTCGGTAAGCCTTGAACCCGTACATGGACATTGCTGTCCCCTGATCGAGACGGTAGCGCGAGTTGGTAGCTGCGACGCCGTAATGATTGAACTCATCCACACTCTGGAGGAAGGCCTCTCGGTACTCATCTCGCGAGGCATCCGTGATCCTCTTGTCCTCAGGAGGTATAGGGCTAGTGTTGTTTTCATTTATAATTCCAACGCATCCTAGCCTTAAACCCTAAACCCTGTAGACCCGAAGCCCTAAACCCTAAGCCTTAAATCCTAAAGCCGAAATCCTAATGCAGTCTGCTGCTCTTGCCTACTGAATGCATAATGCGTAAATGAGCAATGTCGAATGGACAAGAATCGACCAAGATTGCATCCGCACGGGAATGGAAAATCATGGTCTGCTGGATGATGCTTTTCTTCTGCTTCTCTGCTTGTTGCTGAGAGAGTTGCAAGCGGCGCCACACGTACTCTTCCTTCCTCGTCTGCTTGATGAACACACAGCCGATGGAGACGGCGGTCTGGAGCCACCTAATTTGCAGTCGCTTGAAGGGCTGGGCAACTCGTAGTATAAGTTACAGGTAAAGAGTAACAGCTACAGCACTTAATCCTATTCCCTCCTTTAGACAGTTGGGCTTCTCCCATGCAATGAAAGCAACGCCTGGAAGGAAATCTGCATGAATTCTTCGTTGCATAAGAAATCCCACAACACAATTTGGCAGAAGTCTTGCCTTACGTGCGATCGGGGTGGAAATTGGAAGACTGCGGTTCTGTCCGAAAGCCACCAGACTGTCAATATACAGGAGACGACGGTTTGGAAGACCGCGGTGCTTTGGAAACCCTCACGAGACTGTCCCTGTGCAGGAGACGACGGTTTGGAAGACTGCGGTCCTTTACAAACCGTCACCAGACTGTCCCTGTGCAAGAGACGACGGTTTGGGAGATTGCCCTCCTTTACAAACCCTCACCACACGGGTCTGGCTCTCCTAGACGTATCTATCTGGGCCACCCGGGAATTCATGGTTTCACCAAAGCCATCCACCCTGGAGCACCCGGGAGACGACGGTTTCATCCAAACCATCAACTCTCGGGCCTGGGCACCCGGGAGACGACGGTTTCATCCAAACCATCAACTCTCGGGCCTGGGGCACCCGGGAGACGACGGTTTCATCCAAACCATCAACTCTCGGGCCTGGGCACCCGGGAGACGACGGTTTCATCCAAACCATCAACTCTCGGGCCTGGGCACCCGGGAGACGACGGTTTCATCCAAACCATCAACTCTCGGGCCTGGGGCACCCGGGAGACGACGGTTTCATCCAAACCATCAACTCTCGGATCCGGGCGGCTAGTGGATTTGTTTAAACCCTCATCTTTTTAACTTGCAACTTCGGCCAAGACAAAAGGTGATGGTTTGACTCAAACCATCATCTCCTGCCCTTTGTAGAAATATTTGTGATCGCTTTAACTACCTTTTTTCGCACTTAAAAAATAAGCCAAATATTTCTACAAAGGACAGGAGATGATGGTTTGAGTCAAACCATCACCTTTTGTCTTGGCCGAAGTTGCAAGTTAAAAAGATGAGGGTTTAAACAAATCCACTATAGCCGCCCGGATCCGAGAGTTGATGGTTTGGATGAAACCGTCGTCTCCCGGGTGCCCAGGCCGAGAGTTGATGGTTTGGATGAAACCGTCGTCTCCCGGGTGCCCAGGCCCGAGAGTTGATGGTTTGGATGAAACCGTCGTCTCCCGGGTGCCCCAGGCCCGAGAGTTGATGGTTTGGATGAAACCGTCGTCTCCCGGGTGCCCCAGGCCCGACAGTTGATGGTTTGGATGAAACCGTCGTCTCCCGGGTGCCCCAGGCCCGACAGTTGATGGTTTGGATGAAACCGTCGTCTCCCGGGTGCTCCAGGGTGGATGGCTTTGGTGAAACCATGAATTCCCGGGTGGCCCAGATAGATACGTCTAGGAGAGCCAGACCCGTGTGGTGAGGGTTTGTAAAGGAGGGCAATCTCCCAAACCGTCGTCTCTTGCGCAGGGACGGTCTGGTGAGGGTTTGTAAAGGACTGCAGTCTTCCAAACCGTCGTCTCCTGCACAGGGACAGTCTGGTGAGGGTTTGCAAAGGACCGCGGTCTTCCAAACCGTCGTCTCCTGCACGTGGACAGTCTTCGGAGGATTTGTAAGGGAGCTCAGTCTTCCAGTCTGGTGGCTTACGGACAGAACCGCGGTCTTCCTGATCTTTTTCCGATCGCATGTAAGGCAAGGCTTCCGCCAGACTGTGATACACAAGGCAACATGAAGAAACTTGCCGGAATTACCTGGGAGAAACGCTGATTATCTAGGCGTCGGAAAGCCCCTTCCCCAGTAACGTAAAGCCATCGACGTTATCCAGGCTCGTGGGAATGACTTTGCAAATGCGTATTTTGCTGGTCTAGCTTTTGAAGAGATCTTGATATCAGCACTAGCAACAGCAACAGCAAGCACAGCAGCAAAAACACCAGCAGCGACAGTGTTGTTGCAAGAACAACAGCACCACCAGCAGCACCACCACCACTGCCACCGCCACCACCGCCACCACCACCACCACCAAGAGCAACAACGACAACAACAACAACAACAACAACAACAACAACAAGAACAACACCAACACCAACACCAGCACCAGCACCAGCACCAGCAACAACTGCAGCAACAACAACGAAAGCACTTGCACCACAAACAACAACGACAGCAACAACAACAACGACAACTACTAGTACTACTACTACTACTACTACTACCACCACTACCACTACTACTACTACTGCTACTACTACTACTACTACTACCACTACTACTCCCACTCCCACTCCTTCTACCACTACTACGGCAACTACAAGTACAAGTCCTACTCCAAGTCCTACTCCTACTCCTACTCCTACTACTACTACTACTACTACTACTACTACTACTACTACTACTGCTACTACTACTGCTACTGCAACTGCTACTGCTACTGCTACTGCTACTGCTACTGCTACTGCCACTGCCACTGCCACTGCTACTGCTACTGCTACTGCTACTGCTACTGCTACTGCTGCTGCTGCTGCTCCTACTACTACCACTACCACAGGCACAACCACAACCCCCACCATAGCCACAACCCTTATAACACACAATCCCGATTGGACAATCAGACCTCTAAGGTGCCCTGATCTACTCTCGTGCATTTGGTGCCTGAGGCTCGGCTTGAACTTGATTTTTTCTTCCGTCAGAAAGGGTTCAAACGGAACGTTACAACATAGGCTTCTGGAGGCAGGTAGTGGACCTCTGACCGCAAGCCCAAGCTACACAATATCATAAGTATCTGTGTATGGCATGCCAGAGCTTGAACCCCAAGTTTTTTTCAGAACAGAACACCAGCGGCGTGCACAGGGTTTGCGGTATGTGTATTAAACTCAATACTTGGTTCAAGGCCTGGAACTTTGGTTTAGGTGTTAAGATGTGCGGTTCAAGGTTTAGGCTTTACAGTTCGGGGTCACGGTTTAGTGTTTTTGATTCCTGCTGCCGATGTACTTTCGGAACTCCTTCTCGGTCTCTTCGTCCCAGTTCTGTTTCAGCTCGAGGTAGGTGTGGAGCACGGCGAAGTAAAGAATCGACAGTCTGCCAAACCCCTTTGCTGGACCCAGGGTCCCGAACTCCAGGGGTTTACCCAAAGCAGAATCCTGCCAAACCTTGACTTCCACGTTTTCTCTCCATCCTTCGAAACCCGTGGCCCAAATCGACCCTGCATGCACCTGCCACTCTTGCAGCACAGGGAAGCCGTCCTCTGGCTCCCGGAGCCGGAACCCCAGCAAAGGGACCGGGAACACGGACTGCTGCGAGTCCGCCTCGGGTATGCTACAACTTTGGAGCAACAGGAAGGGTTCCGGTAGGGGGTCCCGACTTAAGGTATACTATATTATATAGGAGATTTAAGCTAGAGTTTTATTGCATTGCACAAGGTTAGATTCAATCATGATTGTTGTTTTTGGGCTGAAAGAATCAATCTTTGTTCAACTTTGACTTGGGATCAGGAAGTGTAGTGTTTATTGTATAATGGTTTACGGTTCACGGCTTGGGATTGAAGGTTTAGGGGTGCTACGCTTGACAAATGCGGATTCAGGGTTTACGGTTTCCAGGTTTTCGGATATGAGCCAGCGCACCGGCATGACGACAGAGGAAGGGTGCTGCAAGCTGCCCTCGGAAACATGGTGCAACCAATCATGTAGGCCGTCGTAAATCCCCGGCTCGGCGAGCTTGCTGCAAACAAACTCTGCGGGGTGGCACTCTTTGACACAGTCGAACTTCCTTAATGGGTGACCAAGTCACTGTTAAGTCACTGCTACCGGATGATGCAAGGGCTATTGCAAAACTTGCTGGAATCCTGCTGATCCTGAGGCAGGGTCGCGAGCGCGGTCATCATCTTCTTCAACCAAGGCCCGGCCTTAGCCTCCTTGATGCTGGAGGCAGATGC